ACTTCGCCACCGCCCCCCCCGGTCTTCCTCCTTCCACGGGAGAAATCCGAGCCGCGCGCGTTGCGATCCCCGGTTCTCTCTTGCTTCCCCACAAGCAGGCGGCTCATGGAGGGAGTCGGGGCGCTGCTGGCCGGTTACCCGACCGCCGGCCTGGCTGGGGGCCTGGGAGTGACGGTGTGCGCCGCCGGAGGGTTGCTTCTGTACAAAATCGCCCGGAGGTAAGCCTTCTCTCTCGCTCGCTCGCTCTCTTTTTTAATGCCCGGGTTCAGCCTTCCCACGCGACTTAAACCCCGTCCTCCACGAGGCTCGTGTGGCTTTGCGAAGGAGGCCCAGGCCAGTTGGGCGGGGTCGCAGCTGGAGTTCGAGCATGGCTTTTCCTTGTCTCCTCCTTCCGGGAAGGTTTTTTCCCCCTGGCTCCCTCTTTGGTGGCCTCGAGAGGGAACAAGAGTCGTCTGGAAGGTGTGCTTGCGTGCGGGAGGACGCGTCCGAAGCCTTCTCCAGTCGACGTTAAAATGCGTGAAAAGGGGGCGAGTAGGACGTGCAGGGGCCACGGAGACAGCCCTCAGGGATGATGGGAGTTGTCGTCCGACTCGTATAGAGGTACTGTAGAGTTTAAAAACACGAGATGGGGCCGAAGGAGGGGTGTTTTCGCTGACAGGTCTCTAGATTTCTTACGATGATCTGAGTCTTGAAGTTTGCACGACCCTGTATTTTCTGGAGGATCTGCCTTGGTTTATGAATAGGTTTCTGTTTTCAGAATGGCTCTGTATTGTTTCAAAGCCAGGGCTCAGAAAACTGGTCCTAAGCTGTATTTTCTCCACAGTATTGCACTGTTAGCAAAAACATGCTTATGTTTGCAGCACCCTTTAGAGAAGTAGGAATAGAGAGAAAGAAAGAGAGTGTGTGTCTTACATTGTTTAGAGAAGATATTTGCCTGTAGTGCTAAGCCATAATCTTCCTTTAACCATGAACTGTTCATGCAGGTAAAGAAACAAACCAGTTTATTTCCCTGGTTTCAGAACTGATTCTCTCACACCCCTTTTGTCACTCCTGTTGTCTGAACAGGCAGCTGGAGAAACAAGCCATAGTTCTGGTTTCAGACAAACCATGTTTCAAACAATCCCAAGTTTATAAGCAAAGTAGGGTTTCGAACAGATGTTTGCCACTGGCTAGCAGATCATGCTTTTTTTAAAAAAAAAAGTGCAGAGATGCAACAATATTCTGTTATGCGCAAACCCAGCCAGTTTTCTTAAACCAGTTTTCTCTCTTTATTTTTTGTTCTCTCGCAACCGTCTTTTGTATTAAAGAGCTAAGCAAAAAATGCTTGCATTTGTTGCTCTCGGAATGGGAACCATGTGGGTCGGAGGATTTGCCAGAGGTCATCCATCAAATCTGTGGCAGAGGAGCATTCATTTATGTTTATCTGTCATCCTGAACACAGTCCTGGGAGATAAGTCCCAGCTGAGCATTCATACGTTTGCATTCTAAAGTATACTTACCTTCAATTGAGTAAGCCCATTAAGCCTCATGGGGCTTACTTACCAGTAGATGTATATGGAAGCTAGTTCTCAGTCTCCAAGTAAACTCCATGCCTGGCTCAAGACACCAGCTCATCTTTTCTGAAAACTTTTAGTGAAGCTGAACAGTTTTTGATTTCAGTTAAACCATTTGTAATGCTAGGTTCCATGGGATAAAGGTGTGAGCGCTTACATTTCTGCTGTTTGATAAGGGAGGATGATTGAACAAGGCAGGTGGGGGGAATAAAAGAGGAGAAAGAAAATTAAATTGGTGTACTTTTCACTGCAGGCGAAAAGGATTAAACTCTGGCTGGTTCTGTCCGATAGAAAGTCTTTGGTGGAATGTGAAGAATGTGCTTAGGTTGGTGCAGGAAGGGGTTTCCGGTGCAACAGCATTTTTTATTTTTTTGCCTGAGGGTCCTGTCATGCTGACTAGAGTTCAGGAAGAGAGCTTTAAAAACACATGCAGCTGCTTGCACGTTTGAAGGTACTGTGAGGGTGGTGGAATCCTGCAGTGTTTCTCTCACAGCTTTTCATAATTTCAGAATTGCCAATTCCGTTGTCTTCTGGGTTAAGAATGACATCTCTCTTGAACCTGGAGATATGTCCAGTTTAGAATAGCAGTATCTGCGTGTCACAATAAACTATGGTTTGCGTTAATTACAGTTAGTTGTCCCATAGTTCACCAAATAGTGTTCACCTCCAGTTTCTAATGGGGTTTTGACTCTGATCCATTTATTTGTCTTGGGACAGGAAACTGAGGAGGAGGAGCACAAGGATGAGCCAGTGGTTCTGAGTTCAGACCTGATAACAAGCAGTATTTTTTAAAAAGTCAGTGTTCCTGTGCTACCAGTAGCAAACCATGATTGGAATTGAATTGTGGCTTGCTGGAACAGTTGGCCAGTTATGCTTCTCTACGAGCCAGATTTCAGCAAACCACACCATGATGTCTCATGACACAAGAATACAATACTGTATGTCAGGAAAAGCATTATAGACCCTCAGAAGAGCCTGTCCCACCTCCCATTCACCAGTTGCTGTTCTGAACATGCAGAGATGCAACAGGCAGACTCCTCAAAGGGAAAGCTAATTCTGTTCGATCAGGAGATCCTTCCACTGCAGTCACAGGTTATGTGGAGACTTGGTAAAGATCCCCCATATTCAGGCGAATGCGATTGGGAGGAATCGGGAGCAGGATGTCCCAACAGGGACTCATGCAGGGGTGCAGTGGACAGACTATCTGTTTTGCAAGCTGGTATTTGGGTCTCCAGGGAACCATTCCCTGGGTGCATACCCTGCTATTTCACAGTACTCTTAGATGACTCAGCATACAGTGGAGAAAATTTATATTTCTCTGAGAACAAAGACAATTGTTCTGTCTTCCCTTGATGAGCTGGGCACAGTCATGAGAGTTTATCCTCACAACACCCAGCCCCAGTGGGTTGAAGATGTTCAGAGGGTCGTATCGGGGACAGAAAATGCTTCTCAAGTGGAGTTTGCAGAAACATGATTGGTGGCTTTTGTTCGTCAAGTAATTCAGTCATGGCCTTCCAGATGTGATTGGACTGCACCTCCCATGACCTCTAGCCACATAGTTGGTAGTGGAGAATGATGGGAACTGTAGTTGAGCAACAAACATCTAGAGGTGCACATGTTCTCCATCCACACAGTAAACTATATTGTTTACCTCCATGATTTCCTTTGCCTTTCCCCATGTTTACAGGAATAATAGAATCACAAAGGTCATTGTATGCATGAATTAATTGTTAGTTTGAGAAAAGGAAGTTCTCAGACTGTGGTTGATGGATCATGAGCTGGTTGGAAGCTCTCGGTCAGGTGGTCTTCGGGAAGTTTTGTGAAATCATCTTTATTCAATCTTTCCCTTGGCTTTGCCAGCATTGTACATAGTAAAGTTTTGAGCAAAGCTCGACTATCAAAGAGGGTGGCAAAACCGTGATTGCAGACCTGTGATTGTTATACAGTGGCAGTAGGTTGATCTACTAACATATCCTGATTTTTTTTTAACCTGGAGGGACGGTTGGGAGGATGGTTGTAGATGTTTTTGTCTGCAACTTTCTTCACCTTTTATGTGAAAGAAAGTGGGTGTGAAGGCTCCTGCTTCCCATTGTAAAAGTGGCGCATGAATTAGCAGGTTGGCTAATTCCTGTGCTATGTGTGAGAACTGGGTAGGCGGAGGAGTGCTCATTGCCACATGCAGTGTGGTTGGCGTGTCACAGCTGGAGATGGGTATGCAGATGCGATTCTGCCCAGGAACTGAGAGCAAGACTGGGTCACAATGATAAGTCTTTGTTAAGTCTTCTTGAAATAATACCAGCATCCCTGGTATTATTTTGTCTGGTTGGCAGTTGGAAAATTTAGATAGAGTAGCATGGGGGCCATCACAAAACAGCCATTGCCGAAGGGGATTACCTGTTCATGAAATTGCTCATGTGAAGTCAGCACAAGCAGTCACGAAAGATCTGCTTTCTTGAAGGGCTACCTGATGAAGCTGAGATATGGGTAACTAGCCCCTCTGTCTTAATTAAATAACAACATTTTTAGCACATTTCTAATATACAAAGCCTTTCCTTTGAATTCACAGTATGTTTTCTCTTTTTCTCAATTTGAGGCTCTTCCCCAATAGCAAATACCAAAATCCACACACTCCCATATGGCAAACATTTGTGATCCCACTCAGTTGGTTTTTTAAAAAAAACAACAGCTAACATATTTTAAATACAGTCTTAGAAGCAGCTTGTCGTGTTCTTGAGATAGAAGTCATGCCCTCGTCTCTTAAAGATCTCTGAAAAGTTATATTAGGATCAGAAGTCCCATAATTCCCAGGTTCTCTGGCTAGGCGATTTTGGGCATTGTCTCCAGAAAACAATTTTTTTAGAGATCTAAGATTAAAATTCACATGCCACACAAAACACCTCCTTAAAAGGGGTCAGGTGGCTGTCATTCTGCATGTTAGCATATGAAGGTTAGTGGTTTGTCTTTATAGCCGTCCTCCAAGCCTGGCACTGGGGTGTGTGAGGTGGAAGTTCAACAGGTGGAGCTTCTCTGTGAATCCTTTGTGCTGGACTTTCGGGAGAGGGTCTCTCGCTTTGGGGCGGCCGCCTTGGCCTTTGCTCCCTTCTTACACTCCCAGATCATGATAGAGCTCGTTAACATTATGTGTCTGCATAAATGAGGGTTTCTGAGCTCTGTGTAACAGCGGGGCACATTCTTAGGACTGATCTTCCTTTTAATTCATCAATGAACCCTGCTGTCGGAAAGGATTAATGCCTGACAGCTTCTCTTATGGCCATTTCTTGGCCGGTTCAGTTTTGCCCACAGACGGACCCCCTTCACAATGGGACGCCTTATCTCTTCTTTCCAGGACCTCCGCACTTCTGCGCCACCGACGTAATCTGCACAGCTGGTCATGACTCTGGAGACAGCTGCTCCAAACAACTGTCCTCGTGGCTGTTCTTTGCAGTTGGCTTTAAGGCCAGAGGCTACTTCTTCCTTTTATTTCCCCCCCCCCCAGAAAAAGAGAGATGGTTTTTGAGTCCAGCCAGGAGGGCCCCAAGCCTCGCTTGACATATCAGTCCCCTCCATCTTCCCTTGTTTCCATCTTTTTCTTCGTCGTGGTTTTTTTTTGTTCTGGAAGGGAAGGCCGCTTCATGTCTTGCCCGCTATAAAGAATAGGAAGTGGGTAGGATGCTAAGGTTTCAGGACGCACCTCCCATGTTCCTAAGCAGGCCTCAAGATTAATTGTTCCCCATGATGAGGCCTAGCGCCTCTGCAGAGCAGGCCCTCTGGTTGCTAGGTAACCGCACCAGGCCTCCATTCCTCCATAGCTGCATCTTTTTGAGTGCCTAGCAACCACAGGAAGTGCTCCCTTGCAGGAACTTCCTGTGAGGCAACTGTCCTGCGTTCCTCCCCTGGCTTGATTTATATCTGGTCTGGGTGGTGGGAAGGGACAACCGAAAAGGGTCATTAGGTTGGAGAAGCTGATCTCTATGGCAGGCTTACCACGATCGTGGCTTTACGAGCTTGCGAAAAGGTGATTGGTCGATAGCAGAGTTGTGCCTCCTTGTAAATCCACCTCAGGCGATCCCCCAGGAAAGCTAAAAAGTGGAGAATTTAGTTCATGCACACATATACACTCTTTATATATACTTCTACACATAGCATGTAGTTCAACTGTGGAACTCTTTGCCACAGGATGTCATGATGGCTGCCATTTTGGATGTCGAAAATGCAGCTCGATTGGATAGACTGGTGGAGGGTGGGTGGGATTCGTGGCTAATTAGCCAGGGTGGCTAAAATATCACATCCAGGATTAGAGATCACACTTCTCCAAGTGTGTTTACACTGCACAGTGAGGGCAGTTAGATACCATTTTGCCTCTGTGGCTGCACCGTATGGAACCCTAGGTTTTTAGTTTGGTGAAGGACTTTGGCTTTTCTGTTGAAATCCAGGGGGTGTTCCTAGATCTCTCTAGTAAAGGGTTGTAAGGACGCACCAAACTACAGTTTCCAGGATTCCTTAGGACAGCACGAAGGTAATTAAAGTGGTCTCAAACCGCTATAACAGTGCAGTGTAGACACACACTACAGGGCACCCGCATGGCCTCTGAGGAAGGCAGAATCCTGGCTTGGATGCATCTTCTTTCAGTTATCGTACTGAAGAAGAATCAAAGTGCAAACTGTAGCAGTTGCTTAGGAACAGATCTGAGTACAGTACTATTAATTAATTGTTTTTGAAGTTAATTGCTGGAACATCGGGCGGGGGCTTTTGTTCTCTTGTTCTGCTTGCTAAGGGTGGCAGTTTGACCATGGTGGGGAGACAGGCTTGGGTCGGATCCAGAACAGCCGTTTTCTTCTTAAAATGCAACCTGGCCAACAGTGGAAGATAGGAGGGCCTGGCGTGCTCTGGTCCATGGGGTCACGAAGAGTCGGACACGACTAAACAAACGAAACGAACTTTACTACCTCTCTCTCTCTCTCTCTCTCTCTCTCTCTCTCTCTCTCTCTCTCTCTGTGCGCGTGCGTGTACAAACTTGCTTTGGTGCCCAGAAACCTCCCCAACCTCACTATTTTTTGCACCAACAATTGTCTGTTTCAGCAATTTGCTACGTTTATTTGGTATTTTCCACCACAAACGCTTGTGATTGCTTGATAACACACGCAGATACTGATCTAAGGTTACCATTTTACAGTTGTTGCTTATGGTCAAAGAGATGTGGACATGCTTCATGATCACAGAGGCACAGCATTTTCCAAAGATAGGAAATGAAAGCAGGTAAATCTAGGTACCGAGACATCCATGCAGTTACATAAGACATAGAAAAGAATAGAATTGAATAGGTGGCCATCTGCCCTTAAGCTGACGGACTTCCCAGGGTTGTTACGAAGATAAAGATCAGAGAAGGAGCGCCATGTTTGCTGCCTTGAATTTATTGAAAGCGGTGGATCGAAGTATAACAACAGTAGGACTTCCCTATCCATGGGCTCAGTATCTGCTCTTTCACTTAACTGCTGTCCTTGAAACTGGACCACCTGAACTAGTTTAAACTCTGGCAGATCCATTCCAGATTTTTCAGAATGACTTGAGCAGAAAAGCACAGAGAATCGTATTCTTTGGTAGAAGCAGAGGGGGGGTTCTGATAGGGGAAAAAAGTCCCTTTCAGCATACAAAGGAATTCATGAATCAAACTTTAAAAATGTATTTGCTATGTGTTTGCAACTATCCGCATGTTTCGGTATCCACAGGGAACCGATCCCGCGTGGATTCGGGGCCTCCTCCTGTATTAAGAAGAAAAGAAGGAATGTTTGCCCTCTTTTTTTAATCTTTCTTTTCTTTTCTTTTTTTTTGCTGTCCCAAACATTGCCCTGCTCCTTACTCCATCTCTTCCTTAACCCTGCTGGGCTAATGCTTGGGTTTTTGGACTCAGTACCTGCTTTTTTTCTCTTCTGCTCTCCTGCAGGAAGAAACCGACGCACATGACCGTGAACTGTTGGTTCTGCAACCAGGACACCGTGGTGCCGTACGGCAACCGCAATTGTTGGGATTGCCCCAACTGCGAGCAGTACAACGGTTTCCAAGAGGTATAACGTCACCCATAATTCTCTAGAGCCAAAGGTCAAGGGTCGCTGGACGGGCAAGGACTGCGCAGCCCTGAGTTCCATTCAAGAAATGTGGAAGAGATGCCCCTTGTATATAAATGGAATACTCCACCCTTGGGGGTTTTCAGCCCATCTGCTTGCCAGTTAATAATTTCATTCACAAATGACTCTCTTGCCCTTGAACTCCAGGTTTCACACACGTTCCTAGGGCAAATGCTAGTTCACACAATGAGAATCCAGTAGAAAGAGCCTCCGCTTCTCCCCCCCCCCCCCAGTTTCTCGTGATTTTATTTTTTTGCTTCATCTTGGCAGAATGGTGACTACAACAAGCCGATCCCGGCCCAGTACATGGAGCACCTCAACCACGTCGTCTCCGGGGCCAGCGCCTTCTACGACCCGACCAAGCCCCAACAGTGGGTGAGCAGCCAGGTTCTCCTGTGTAAAAAATGTAACAGCTACCAGACAATGAAGATCAAGCAGCTGGCATCCTTCATGCCCAGGGAAGAGGTATGATCTGGGATGGGGATGGGGACTGGAGCTGCCGTTTCATGCTACACTTGCTGTGGTGCTAGGCAGAGTGGATTTCCATACAACAGCTTCCTGGGTTCTAATTTGCCTCATCTCTTATCTCTGGGCATGGATCAGAGATAAGAGCAAAAAAAGCTAGGAATCCATCCATCCATCCATCCATCCATCCATCCATCCATCCATCCATCCATCCAAAAGCTTCTTTAAAACACTGCCTGCCAAGACATGATTTCTAAGCGCCACCATAAACTGGAACAAATGTGTCTTTTGAGTTTATTTGCTGATTTGTAAGAACCGGCAATGAGGTGGCCAGGCCTGTCTCCCTGGGGGAGGGGGTCCCAAGGATGTGGGGCTCCCCTTAGAAAAGTCCCTTACGTATTATTTCTCAAGTCACCCAACTCTACTGGCAGCAACAGAGCTGACAAGACTGAGCGACACAAAGCAAAGTGGCAACTTGATATTAGGTGGCTTCTTATATTCCTCTGTTTTTTAATAGGACTTTTATGAGGACATTTTTAGAACATGTCCCTGCATTGCCTTCAACTTAATTGAAGGTGGAAGCAAGTAAGGAAGTACAGTAGGTTCCAGGGGCCCCCTGGCGGATGCTGAAAAACGCCAATAATAGAAAATGCCATGCATAGCATGGTCTCTGGCTCCTTTGTGTGGCCAGTTCTGGCAACTTCATGTTCTTTAGAAACACATATTTCTAGGGTTTTTCTCTGAATGTTTTCAAGATTTTCAGATAAGTGAATCAGCAAGTACGGATTCTGCGGATAAGGGGGTCCTGTTGTAGCTTTTAAATTGGGATAGAAATGTTTCTCCTGAGTACTGTATTAGGACAGGGTGACCTAATTGCGCATTGCATTTCTGGGTCATCCTCAAGCTGTTTTTTTCTAGTCTTTTTTTTTCCTGCATCGTCCAGCAGGTAACACTGCTTTCTCCCCTTGTTTTTTCCCCCCTCCTTTCTTCCTTCTGTCCTTTCTAGCCAGTAACCCTAACCTGGCTGGCGGTCTCTGTCTTTGAAAGGCCTGCCCCACATTCCCGGCGCCATGGCAACCGGCTGGGGATAGCAGTGGCAGCCAAGGGCATTTTTTTCCCACCCTGCCTGCAACGTAAGCAGGGGTTTTTTTGTCTAGAGAAAGCCTGCGGGGTGTGGGGGGAAGGAAACACGCAAGACCGAGCACATGGATAACCTTATTCCACTGCCTCTGGCTAAATTTCTAGAAGAAGCAATATTAAAACAGAAAGAAAAATTTAAAATACAAATAAAAAGCAGAATGTTTTCACTTTTATTATTTCTTAGATAATATTATTTGTACTTATCTTTTCCATCTCTCTCATGCTTTGTAGGTGGAAAAGCTCTCAAAGCCGTTGAATTAATAACTGATCAATTAAGTCAATGGTGACTTAACAGCAATGCTCTCATTTTTTTTTCTTATACATTCCATTCAGCTGCAAACCGAACAATTCATGCACTGTTTACTTGGCTTAAGTCAACTTAAAAATTATTACACTAAGTTATGCGGTGTAATCATTTTAAAAAAGCCACTCGAGTGGCATGCAAATCTTGCCAGCATTTCAGTGTGGAAATGTGGTTCTTTCAGCTGTTTTAATCAGACGGGTGTCATTATGAAACTGATGTCATGAAATTTCTGAATAATTGCAAAATAATTGTGTGTTGTTGACTCCAGACTCATGTCAAGTCTTCTTGAGGTTTTCTCTGTTTGAAAGACTCAGGATTGATTTACTAGTCTTTCCTCCAGGTGGCGCTCTAGGACTGTGCAATCCATGCAAATGGCCAGGCAGGTAACTCTGTCAGCTACACAGTCTTTGAGCAATCTGGGCTACCTCCAGCCCATTGTTTCACAGCCATATGCCTTTTCTCAGTGAGCTGTACCAGCTCCAAAGCGGCTGGCACATCTGTAAAACCCAAGCAGACTTTTGGGCTTGCCCAATTTTTTAAAAAATCAAGACATGGCATAAAAGGAAAAGGCGAGGAGGAGGGAAAAGGAAAAATGCATAGGTGTAAGAAGCTGCCTTACAGCAGGTTGGATTATTGGGCCACCATCGTAATGGTGTTTAAGCTGCCTTACAGCAGGTTGGATTATTGGTGTTTTTCTCCTGCTCTCTCGCTCTCTCTCTCATGGGCAGGGCAAATATGATGAGGAGATTGAAGTATACAAGCATCACTTGGAACAGATGTACAAGCTGTGTCGCCCCTGCCAGGCAGCAGTGGAATATTACATCAAACATCAGAACCGCCAGCTGCGGGCCCTCTTGCTCCGGCACCACTTCAGCCAGCGGAAGACCGACAAGACGTGCATGCAGGTAGGGAGGGGGGCCCTGTTCCCGCAGCCCTTGCTTCCTGTCCGAGACAGGAAGTACAAACTGCTGCATCCTGCCAAATAAAGGAAGCTACTGTTGTTCACACTGGACAGGGTCTAAGGCTTGGCAGGGGTGGAGGAACACAGGCGGTCATAAGAATTCAAAATGGACTTGAACATCCCACCCATCCATCCATTCGATTTGCATTCTGCCTTTCTCTCTGAACTGGCTTTATGGAAGTCAATTATGCTCTGCTGTTCGCTTCCAGATAGGACTTAAATTGGATTTACTTTCCCCCAGATATCCAGAGTCTTGACCGGAGTGGGATTCCCCCCCCTCTCCACAGCTGCCTTAGGAAAGCCAAGTATTGGTCCTTTCTTTATGCAGAGAAAACAGGGAGGTGGCCGTCACACCCCTCTGGCAGCAGACACAGCTTCCCCCCCCCCCAGCAGCTTAACTGGAGGTATGACTGAAGGTATTTCTCTTTGCAGAGTTTTTATGCCGCGGCTTCGTCAGCCACCACACCCATTCAAGTGATCGCCCTGCGCTTCCTGGCTTTCCTCAGCTGCACTGTCCTCGTTACCATGGCCCTTTATGGGTCAGGCAACCCCTTTTCCCCTGCGCCCGGCACTCCTCCTGCTCCGTCGAGCCCGGGGCTGGCCAGGAACGGGACGGAAGCCACGCCAGGGGTCCCGGCACCTAGCAACGGCACTCTGCTGGAGATCCTGAGCTGGCAGGAGGTGGTCCGGCTGTTACCAGAGCACGTGGTCGAGACGCTGAGCACAGCCTGGTCCTACGGGAGGAACCATCAGGTGGCGGTGGTGGCCCTTGGCTTGCTGACATGTTTCCTGGCCATGCTGCTGGCGGGACGCATCAGGTACATGGGCGTGCATGCTTGGGTTATCCCTTACTGCGTTGGTTTCCCAAACTTTGGATCATCAGGTGGGCTTGAACCCAGTTGCCTTGGCCTGCACAGCTAAAGGTCAAGGCTTCTGGGAGGCGTAGCCCAAAAACATATAGATTTCCAGCCTTAAGAACGACGGTTGCCAACCTTTTAAATCAAGTGTGGACAAGTGCCGGCAGCCTGGCAGCCGTGAGTCCAGTCCTAGAAAACTACATCGGCCCCTCAAAATGAAACCATAGCCTGGCAGCCGTGAGTCCAGTCCTAGAAGACTCGAGGGGCTACATTGGCCCCTCAGAATGAAACTAGAGGGACGACACGTGACCCTAAACTTCATTTTTTTAAAAAGAACTGAAACCATAGGGACGACACGTGACCCTAAACTTCATTTTTTTTAAAGCATCAGTTTTGGGTCTCATACAATGTCACAGGGAGCAGCCCACACCTCGTTTTAGAGGGAAACTCCCTTAGAGTTGCAATTTTTCCTTCTTTAAATTCTTATTCTATAGACGTTCCCCTCTTCCTTCGACAATCTACAGGTTCACATTCCCCTCTTTTCTTGTCACAACAACCCCATAAGGTAGAATGACCGGCCCCGGTGTCATCACTGAAATTGCAGTGCCTTTTTTCCATGATTATTTGCTCTAATAAACCCGAAAGTTTGCAAATGTTTCAATGCTTCCCTTCTTAACTGGATGCTGCTTCACACCTTGGTGGCGGTTTTTAACATATCGGGGTGTCTTCATGGTAGATTCTTCTCACCCCCCCTACCCCCGGTGCACTCAGTGGTGGCCGACGCTTTACCACCCTGTCTTTCTCTCCCCCCCCCAGGCTCCGACGGATAGATGCCTTCGCCTCGGTCCTGTGGCTGCTGGTGATGGGTTTCCACCTAGCCGAGAACTACCTGCAGACGGACCCCCCCAGCTGGCTAGACACGGCCAAGTTTGGCACCACCTCCCTCTGCTGCCTGGTGGGCTTCGCGGCAGCCGTGGCCACCCGGAAGCCAACATCCCTGCGGAGACCCCGACCCCGAAGGTCAGAGCCCGGACAGTGACCGTGGGGGGTGGGGGGACGCACGTATCCTGGAAACAAAACAATAGTAATAATAATAGTAATCCGAGCCTTCCAAAACACAGGACTACTGAGCGTGGTGCTTCCTTTCTGCCTCCCCAATTTTCTCTTCCTTTTCAATTTTCTTTAAACTTCCCCTTGCTTTTCTTCTAGAAAAACTCTAGGAGAGATCTTTCTCCCCCCCTCTCCATTTGGGCAGATGGCTGTAGCAAAAACAGGGTGGGGGTGGCCTGAGCTGTTTTCTCGTCTTCCACCTCGTTCCCAGATGCTAAAACTGCATTTCCAAAACCAGAAGAATAAGGTTGCTACTCACTGCTCCATTTAATCAATCTAATCCATCCAGATTGTTGTTCCCATGAGAAATTTTTCTGTACTTTCTTAATTTGAGGGCTACCGGGAATTAATTTTCCTGTCTTGTACCCCGTATGTCTTTCCCACCTTCGCCTTTGGTTCTGCAGTCTCTTAAACCGGTTTGAAACAGTTTCATCGCTCTGGCTTCCTTGAAAGAATGCCCAGAACTGGGCGCATAGCTTTTTTTGATCTTAGTTTGTTAGAAGTGCTTATTTTTAACAAAGGGTTATAATTTTTCTTTTTGCTCAAGAAACCTAGCCACAAAAAGCCTTTGAGGGCTCTTTTGTTCATTAGGAGCCCTAATCCTTAAAACTGGATTGGAACTGGTTTAAACTGTATACCATAAACCTAATTTTGGGAGTTTTTTGCCTTTTTTGCTGTGGTTTTGTGTGTGCATTGGGATGCAGTGGCTTGGTTTCAGTTTGGCGTGCCCCACTTTTTTTTTAATACTGATAACACATTTCTGGAGTCCCACGGTTGTTATTTCTAGCATTTGTTTAACTGGTTCTATTTAGTGATACTACATGGGTAGCAGTGGATGTGCATGGGCAATTTCTTTGCTCTTAATTGCCTGTCTTCAATTAACAGCATGCTGCAACCCGTTTGTTTGATGCAACTCCAGATATAACAGAAATAACTCTCTGTGTGTACGTGTGGTTTAATTAACAAACAGCCCTCCATTGTGATCAGTCACCTTTTCTGTAACTGGACTTAACTGTTACCTCTCATGCTAATCTTTGTTCACCCTACGGAGAAAAGGCGGTGAGAAAGCAGGAATAGCTTGTGGTATATAAACTGTCTCGTGTCTGTTTTGGCAGCTGCTGTGCCCATGAAAATTGCCTAGGTAATTTGACGCTGCCTGGTCAGTCTTTCTTTGAGCCGTTCTCCAGGTTGATCCATGCAAACCTTTTGAATGTGTTGCTTCTCAGTTTTCACTCTTGCTTAGATAAGTTGCAGGCATCTTTTTTTTCTTCTTGCCCTAATCCTATAACAGAATGATGGGCCACCAGACTGTCTTCCTAGGGCCCAGAACGGGCATCATTGGGTTACAAGTTCCATCATCCATTGGCCAGGTGGAGATAGATGGTTAGCTAGTGAAGATGGGATTTGTAATCTGGAACATCAGCAGCTTTCCTGCCCCTTCCCCAATTCTGAGGTATTGTGGTGTGGTGCTCTTTGGGATAATTTAAATGTTGTTGGGATCCCTTGTGAACACAGAAAGTTTGTTTCATTTCGTTTTGTTTTTTATTAAGGTGAACACCTTGTAATATGAAGTAGCATAAGAGTGTAGTCTGTATGACATGTTACTCCATAATCTTGGAAAGCTCAGGTACATGAAGGCACTTGTAAAAGTTTTTATAACCCTGTGCAATCCATATTTTAAATTTTGTCCATCATATAATCTAACACTAGTTTCGAAACCAAGTATTTAAAAATACTTAAAGGATACTTATTTGATTGTTTGAAAAAGGTTTGGCATGCTTTTTAACCTCCTTTTGTGTGTGTGTGTGTGTATGTGTGTGTGTGTGTGTGTTGTTTCACACACCCCCTTTAATGTTACATTTTACTCATGCTTTTCTTGGAAATGACAATTCTTGCCCAAAATAGGCAAAGCCCCTCTGGACCAGGGGATTCTCCAAGTTGGGTCCAAAAACAATTTTTCCAAATTGTGATTTTACTTCCAATATTCTACATTGTCCTCACTTCCTCCCTGACCTGATCTTTCTTACAGCTTCGTTTTCACCCTGGTTTTGCGCGAGTGTGTATGTTTCTCTCTATCGTTCTCTGTAGTCAGTGCTCATGCTTATAACATCAGTGGAATGGTTTCTTTTTAGAGATTATTATATCCAACACGTATTCCATCTGATCCCCCTTTTAAAAACATGAACATTTTAAGGCAGAAGTGAGGGGAGACATCCTGGGGTTAGCAACACCACCGAGTTTCCTTGCTGTTCATTCAACATTTGACAACATAGCTGTCACTTACCCCACTCTGCTGTGAAAAAATGTGCTCTTCTGCTAGCCTGTTGGATGTCTTAATTGCAAGGCAACGCAGGATCAGTTCAGAAGTTTCACGTCTTTACTGTGAAACAAATTTACAGTGGACAAGGGGGTTCTTTTCCCATCATGGGGAATTTGTGGGAGATCATGGTAGCCCGGCTTATGCCATGTTTACAACCTCGCATAGGTGTCACACCAAACCATGGTTTCCGCAAAGCACTGTTTTCAGCTGGAATCATGGTTTAAGCTTCCTCGCAGTCAGATGAAACATGGGCGACAGCAGGAATTGTTGGGTAGTTTTGGTGAAGCAGGAGGGGGTGGTTACCCTCCATGCTGTGAGCCACAGCGCCCCATCTCACCGAAATGGCAGGTTTTGAACAGGATGCGGCCCAGAGAAGGGGGAGTAAAGAGGATAACTACAACAGACCTCCCAGGTTTTTCAGATCCTGTGAGATGCATTTCCTGTGTGCCTTTTCTCATCATCCTAGTTTTACTGCCGGTTTTCTTTGCTCCTTCAGCAGGATTGTGGAGAATCTGCCTTGTTCATCGGTTTAAAAAAATCCCTTTTCACTGTAAACCTAATTTCCATCCTATTCTCTAAAAGAATTGTGGGTTGTGAGCACTTAGGAAAAAAAATCAGCACTGTGTACACTATCCCATATTGAAAATGGTGTCTCTATTTATATTATTATTATTATTATCAGTATTTATAATTATTATTATATTAAGCTTTAAAATACTCTCATATTTTATATAGCATAACTGTGCCTAATTGTCTAGTTAACACTATAATTGTTGTAAACACTACTTGAGCTGCCAAGTTTTGACAATAAAGGGCTCCTTAGCCATAACTCTTTTCAACTGTGTTTTTTTGACTCTCTGGCCTGTTTTTTTTAAGCTGTTGGTTTGTTTTCCCCTCCTTGTTTGCATTCACCATTCCTACCCCAGGCAGATGTGTATTTTAAAGTTTAAAAAACAATGTGAAAGACCCTTCTCCCCCCCTCCCCCTGTGACCATTAATGCAGGTTGGGGGATCTTGTTGAGCCCCTCCTGAGAGGCAAAAACAACACACTTGAATGCTTCTGTACCTTGAGGACTAGTAGCTTGTTCCGAAGGCCTCCAGATTCTAAAAGATCTATATGGACAATAGAAGGCCTTTTGCCCAAACGTTCCATACCAGCTCCTTTTTAAAAAACAAATTTCTTGGCTGCTGTTTAGAAAGGCTTTTAATGAAGTACTGAAAGTAACACATGCACACTAAATTTTCAGACTTCTCGGAGCTGGTGGGCAAGGCATGACACACTTTTCTGTGTTGGGCAAAATAACAGGAGTAAAAAAAAATCACTCATGCTCCATGAAGTGGCCCTCCTGCTGCTACGGGTTGACTCCAGTTCCCATCGTCCCTGACATGCAGATAGCACCCCAATCTGAGATCTGTCTGGCCTGATCAGAGCTTATAGCAGTGCTGCCCTTGGGGGGATTGGCAGCTGATGGCCCCATGCCCTTTGCCCGTGGAGTGAGATCCAACTCAAAAACTATGCCGATCCATTCATGTGGCTAATCCAGTATGGTCTACTCTGCCTGGCAGCCGCTCTCCATGGTCTTGGGCTGCAATCTTCCTGCATCGCTTAGTCCCTGATGTCCATTTCAGCCCAACGTGGAACTCGAGACACCTTGCCCGGCCAAGTTGTGTCTTCTCTTCAGTATTTTGGAATATATATATATATATTCTTCACTTCCTCGATTTTTCATTTTTAGAATCAGACAGCCATCCAAAGCTGGGCTGCTTTAGTTGGCATCTGGCTGGGATGGTTATTAGCTAAAGGGTTACATCTATCCATCACTTTACTTGGGGATGGGCTCAAGGTAATCTATCTGGCTCATCTTCTTCATCCTTAATCCTTACAGAGGGCCCCTGCCAGTTTCAGGGCTTGACAGAGTTTTGAATTTGGATTTCCGCGAGACCTCATCCAGCATTTAAACCCTCAATCAGTGTTGGGTGCAGGACAGTAAACAACAAATACTGCCATCTTTACTATATATATATATATCAGGAAGGGAAACCATATTCACAGATGTTGAATATAGACCACAATCTGATAGAATGAAGTCAAAACTTCCTCTCTGTTAAACAAAGGTCACTCCTGGTTTTTCCCACCCGCAAATACAGTTGGATTCTCATGCCGACCTTTAGTTTTTCACTCTGATGACTGTGCAAGAATCAATTTTTTAAAAAAGTGAATTTACTTTAATGTCATTGTACTTCCTTACAATGAAATTAGTGCCATCTCCAGTACATACCGTGATTTGGTAAATAAAATGAAGAAAAAAAGCCACCATAATTTCTGCTCTGGAGGAGGAGGCCCATTCAGTGGGAGGCCGGATGCCAGCTTTCCCCCCACCTTTAAGATTATTTGAGATTCGTAAGGCTGCAAAAACTCAGTGCTTCTCGGTTGATTTTTTATTATTATTATTATTTTACGGCATGGTGGAACATGCTATGCTTCTGGCTTCATCCAGCAACCAACCTCGAGTCTGGTAAGCAGTACCGGGTTCTACCTTCAGCCGTACTTAAAAGGAAGGGGGGGGAATCATATTTATTTTCAGATTTTTTTTTTTGTCTTCCGAGGGTAGCTAAAAAAAGAAAAAAAGAAAAAAGACAGCCGGGCATCTTTTTGGCATTCCGACACTTGTAGGGAACCACCTTCCCTGGATGTTCTTAGCCAATAGCAAGGCGGCATGCAGATGAACCTGGGCGGCTGGCCTATCCCGGCTGCCGGAATCGGAATGCGAAGCATTCCGTTGGCGGATCTTAAGATTTCCCCCAAGGGGCTGTAAAGCAAAAGGATGCTCTCTTCTCTCACTTGAGGAGCCGCAATGGACTCACGAGGTTTCAGTATTTTCTGCAAAATCAGAACAGTGAGTTTCTCTCCTCTTTTTTTTCTTCTTTTTCTTTGTTAAGGTCATAATAACTTGAGTTGTCTTCTGCACTGATAAAGCACCGCCGTCCCATCTCAGGTTTACTGTAATCAGATCTTCCTTTTTTCCTCGGGGATTTACGGTCAAGGAAACCAGCCTGGGATTGCAGCCTTAATGACCCTGTTTGCTTACGCTTGCTTGGCACTGATCCACACCCGCCTCTGTGAAATCAAATTGTTCCCTTCCACTGAATACCTGCAGCCCCTGTTGTTGTTGTTTTTTTATAAGACTGGACTTTGAATTTTAGAATTAATTAGACCCCCTTTTCTGGCACAGATCCATGGGTTCATCATGAGACTCTTTTGAAACTAATCTGGGTTATTTTCTCACCCGGCACTGGCTTTTGTAAAGGAGGCCTCCATGTCATCCCATAATTCTTTGCTATCAGGAACTGTTGGAGGTATTTTTAGCTTCTTCAGCTGACTTTTTTCATTGAAAAGTCAAGGGGAACACATTGCAGAACTTTAAAAGAAAGAAGACGGAGGGCTTTAGTTCATTCCCGTGTGGGTTTAAAGTTTTATGACACTTGTAACCACTTTTTAAACTCATGGCGCCTGATCCATCCATGGATCATTTTGTTGCTTCTGAATACTTTACACATTCCAAGCTTTTAAAGGTAATTTTTTAAAAAATCCACGTGTTAGGACCGGCCAACACAAGTTACATATAAATGATTAAGCTGGAAACATGCTGTTTTTATCATGGTCTTTCTAGACGGGTGTTATATCCAGCTCCTTTTACAAATATTACAGAAACTGCTTGATATACTTTTATTTTTTTAAAAAGGAAAGGTAAAAGGAAGGAACTTACAGTGAGTCCGGATCAATTCAAGTCTGAACTATCTCTGGAGGAAAAAATGTTGAGCCCGATGTTGTCCTGCTTTGGAGAATGCAGGATTCTCTGGACAAGACAGTAATGCTGGGGACAGGTGGAAGGCAGGAGGAAAAGAGGAAGACCCCAATACGAGATGGATTGACTACTTAAAGGAAGCCACAGGCTTGAGTTTCACAGGACATTTTGGAAATTGCTCATTCGTAGGGTCGACATAAGTCGGAAGCAACTTGAGAGCGCATAACAACCACTCATGAACTTGTAAGTAAATACTAGGAAATAGTAGTGTTACTTTTGCAGGTAGCCTCAGGCCCTCCGGGGGATTTTGGAATTCTGAATCCTCTTAATTTCCAAAACCAGAAGAGATCAGGCGTGCTTCCAGTGGTAGTGCCCTGCCATTTGCAATATGTGGTGAACACCGTCCTACCTTACAGGGTTGTTTGGAAGTTTTTTACGTTGAAATCGTTGGGAGGTGTGTTTTTTTAAAACCCCTGAAAGAATTCAAAGCATTTGTTAGAATTCGGGTGGCGAAATATCCCCTGCAACTGACTTCTTTGACATCCTGCCCGTGACCCATCAGATGCTGAAACGGGGTACCCCATGATGGGACGAGACTACCCCACAAAAGACGCTTTGGAGAACCGGAGCCCATATTTGGTACTTCTGCCTGGGTTCAAATTGCTTTCTTTCGTATCCCACCCACAGGTACCTCTCTGGGGATTCCATCTCCGCGTTCCCCAGCGGCACAGAGATCGGTTTCCCGTATCCCCCTGCATCCCCATCTGTCTACATCCCGTCGCCACCCAGCGTGCTGCAGTTTACCAGCCAACAGCTCTTCCGATCCCCACGGCGAACATCGTCTTCCTCTCTTCCTGGACGGCTGAATCGGGCCCTCTCGCTGGGCACGATTCCTTCTTTGGCCAGGACTGGTAAGATATCTTGGTTCCATAGACACTCCCGTTTCCTTTCCAAGGTTCTACGAGTCTTCTGTATGTTTTAACCCAAAAGCAATGCCATTATGTTCCAGATTTCTTTTTTTAAAGCTGCGGGGCTTTGCGGTTCTCATCAGAATTTCCAGACAGAGGACCTAATCTTTAATAGAGTCGTGATCCCTATAAATCATTAACCTTGAGCAAGGGTGGATTTGATTTGAATCAAATTGCTATAAATCATGACTTGAATTTTAAGAATCTGATTTTTGACCATTTAATTCAAAAAGAACTTTTTAAAATTTTTAAATAATTTTTTTAAAAATTGCTGATTTTTATCCACCCTGGCCTTAGGGAACAATAGTCGCTATTATTGTTATCATTATCTTTATTTCTATTAGTTCCTATTACTCCATCTCAGCCAGACAGCCCTCAAAACAGCCTCCATGCGATCAACTTTTAAAAGACATCTGATTTTTTTAAAAAACATTTGCTCCCTTTTTCTGTGCAGCTGCTGTTCCCATGATGTATCTTAACTTCTATTTTAATTTTTTTTCCCCTCAAGATTCTGGCTACTTGTTCAGCGGGAGTCGTCCACCCTCTCAGATGTCCTTCTCTAAGGAGGTACCTCCATCAGGTGGGAGAGCATGCGCCCCCTTCCCCCAAATTCTCAAAAATGTGCAAAAGTTTGAGGTCCACGGGTGCAAAAAAGTTACTGAACTTCCTCAATGTACAAAATTCTTTATTGCAGATGCTTTGCAACCTCCATAGGTTCCTTCTCTCCACGTGAGTTTAGATGGTCCACCTTGTTAGCTCTTCACAGATGTCAGCTGAAATCCTGTTGTTTAGGGTAGTAAATCACACCTTGAGTACGTCTGTTAGAATTCATTGAACTTGGAAAGAAGGGCTGACTCCCCAGCGCCTTCCTGACCCAATGGGGACTGCCTTAGCGTGACTTGTGACCCTAAGCAACAGGATTTCAGCCTTTGTCTGGTTTGCCCGATCCTTAAACACACCGCCAAAAAACAAACCCCAAGCAAAATCATTCCTCCCAAGCTTTCACTGTGTTTGCTTTGAGCATTCAAAGCAGGATAGGTGCAAAATATTATTTTATTGCATTGGACACTTACCGAGGAGCATCATTTCGGCTAGGAAAAGGGGTCCAGGGGTCTTCTCCAAAGACCTGAGAACAAAACAAAAAAACAGAATTCCAGAAATGGTGTGCAGTCTAGCTTTTTTGTTTTGTCATTTTTTTCATGCATAGGAAAAGGAAATTAGCCTCCAGATTAAAGATTAAACCCACCTCTCTCTTTTAACACGAAACCTTGTGTTTCACCAAGTTGAATGCAGAGGGAATTATTTCCAGAGGGGAAAAAATGTTCAGGCTTGCCCGTGTATGATAAATCTTGTTTTGCATGCAAAAAGCTGGCAATGTTTAGATCCAATTTCGAAACCTCTCTGTAGATTGTTTGGGTTTGTTGGTGTACATTATTGCCAGCAATGCAAAGTTAAAGAGGGTTTTCTTTTTCTAGATTCTTTTATCTTTGTTTTGCAGAGAAACAAAGAATCAAACTATTCTCTTACATACTGGCTTTGTGGAAAGTGTGTTGCCCCTTTGACCCCCGTCTTGATCCCTCTTCACCTTTCACATCTCAACTGTATTTTGGTACGAATTAGAATACCTGTTAGCAAGGTTCTTAGCTGCTGGAAAGTTGTTGTCTGTCCTGGAAAATTAACCTCCTCCTTTGACAGCCCTCTCTTTTGAATGGGACCGCATCTCTGTGCCAGTTTAGAAGTTTTTAAATGGGGATGCATTCTCTCCTTCAGTAAAATGATGCTCCTTTTTCATGCCGTGAAAGCCCAACATAACTGAGGTCTTGGAAAGAAATGCAGCAGCTAATGGAGAAAATTGAAAATATAAAAAGTGGAAATATAAGCATGGGGAGGGGTGTCGGTGCTGTACAGATCTGCAGGAAGTTGCTTTCGTAGAGAAAAATCAGGGGACGAGGGATTTGATATATTTCCAACCTGCCTTGGAAAGCTTAAGAATTGCTAAAACCTTCATTGGGTTTATTTAAAAAAAATACACACAGCCCCATAAAAAGGAAGAAAAGTATACATTAATCCCAAATATGGTTTTTTTGTTTGTTTGTTTTTTAATAATTCTGGCACGACAGACAGACATTTCTGGCATAGCGCACAGCATCCTCTGGCATCAGGAGAAAAACAAGTCATCAAATAGAGATGTGAAAAAATGGCTTCATAATTCCTCTTCGTCTTGACTCTTTTCCTCTGCTGGTCCCTTTTCCCCCCAGAATATTTCCCCCTTCTCTCGGGGAGCTGCATCTCCTCCCCGGGGCCATCTCCAGCCCCATCGGTAGCCGGCTCGGTCACATCCAGTTCGGGCTCCCTGCGTTACCGCCGGCCCCTCATCAGCCCCGCACGGCTCAACCTGAATGGCCGCCGGTTGATGCTGTTCTCGGCTCAGACTGAGCATCGTCTCGGCGAAGACGCGGCCCACTCAGAAAACAACGTCTTTACCTCCGATTTGACAGCCTACACAAAGCGGAACCTCAGTGACCGGGGAATGCACGGTAAAATAATCTCTTGGGGATGAGTACGGGATACCTCTCCAAGCTTGGGAAAGTTGCTTTGAGGGACTACAAAGCCCATAATCCCCTAGTTCCCCCCCTCCTGTCCTGGAGTTGGCTGTGTCCTTGTGAAGGACTAGAAACTTGATTGCCCACGCGTTTGAGACTTGTTTTGAAAAATTTCATGAGTCTACATCATGGGGTCCTGTGATTGGCAGGCAGCATGAAGCTTCTGGATTGGCTGGGGCTGGTTTAAAATACGGTCTGCCTTCCCCATCACCTTAAGGCTTAAGACCAGCAGTCTTTCGGATAACGAATGAAACCCACTCACGCTCAAATTCAGGTTCCATTAGCCACACCCCTTTATCTGGCCCTGACAGCTCCATAGGGCCGGCCCTGTCATTCGGCAGAGTGCGCCCCTTGCCTCAGGCAGCAAAATCTGAGAGGCGGCAGCGAAGATCTTGGGGCAAAGACCGAAGTGCCACAGGACTCCCCCCCGTGCGCCCCCTTAGCCAGCCTGCTGCCTTCAGCCGGGGCGAAGAGGTCTACCCCATTGCCGGAGACTTTCCTACATAGAATAGAGGCACCATCTTTTCTTGGAAGGTCTAGCAGGCAGAAGTACCTTGAGAGAGTTTTAACACTGAGCAACCTGCTCTCTCCGGCCTCCACAACACTTTGGATGGTCGATCCTATAGAGCCCACGCGGGGCCAGAATTCTTGGGCTAGACCTCAGATCCCGCCTCAGCGGCCTGCCTGGCCTTCAGCTGGTCTCGCTCGGTCTACCTCGCAAGGGGGTCGTGAGGATACGAAGAGTGTGGAGGGAGGAGGACGAGGGACACTCCTGGGAGCTGTTTGTATTCTTAAGGAGAACAAGTATAAGCATGACAAAGTTGACCCATAAAACAGACAATAAATAAATAAAACTCACCCAGCAATGGGTGTATGTGCATGTACTGTATTCATTTTAAGAGGCACCCGTTTTTCTTTCTCCGTAGATATGAGAGCTGTGGCCGAGGCAGGAAGCATCGGGAGCAACGGCTCCATTAAGAAGGGCGACAGCTCCTCGCACTCGTCCAGCTGTGTGGTGGACACCACGACCAACGGGGAAGAGCCGGCCAGCTGGAAGGGTGAGTTCCAGCCCCACCGCCTTAAAAGCAACAGCACCATGGTTCAAACTGATATTTAACAGATGCGTGGTTACATCCTCTTTTCCCCCAACCCGGAGCATCCTCCAAATATGTTAGATTGCAACATTCATCCCCCCCCCCCCACTAGCCCATCTGGATGGGTTTTGTAGTCTGGCACATCTAGAATGTGTTATATTGGTAAGCCCCAGAAGAACGAGATAGGATAGCACTTTTCAAATACTTGAAAGGCAGTCCTCTGGAGGAGGGGCAGGATCTCTTCTCGACCATCCCAGAATACAAGATATGTCGTCATGGGCTCATGCAACAGGAAGTCAGATTTAGGCTGAACATCCAGGAAAAACATTCTTAACTGTTAGAGCAGTACGACAACGGAAGGAATAAACTCGGGAGGTGGTAAGCACTCCAACGCTGGAGGAATTCAAGGGGAGGTTAGACAGCCCTCTGTCAGATCTGCTTTGATTTGGATTCCTGCCTTGAGCAATGGGGTTGGACTGGATGGCCTTAGAGGCCCCCTTTCCAGTGCCGCCATCTTCTAATCTCACCTGTTAGACGTGATAACTGCAATGTGATGCTAACAGAGTTTTTTTTCCTTTTATTTTATGTCCCCTTTTGGGTGGTCGTGGTCTGTGGCCCTATCTGCGAAGGCTGCGTCGGCCGCTTCTCTCTCCGAGGGGTTCTCGCTGTGAGCCTCACCATCAATGTCCTCTTCACCTCTGCCTACCTCTACCAAAATCTGCGGTGAGCCGGGGTCGGGCGGCCACGCGTCATCTCCCCGATCTTTTCTCCCCTTGGCCCCGAGGGCCGACTGCCTTTCCAAGGAGCCAGAAAAGAGAAGGGAAAATTCGTGGCCACGAGAACTGCTTACGAACGCCAACACCTCTTATCTCATCGGTCTGGAAGGTCTTCGCATGAAGAAGCGCCTTGGGTTCTCCGGCACCTTTCCTTTCTACAGAGCTGATTGGTTAGGAAGTGCGCAAAGCGGCTGTTTTCAGGGGACTTGCGAGGGAGCCTCGGTGCGTAAGGCCAGACCCATCTCTTTTCCTCCCACGATGGGTGGTTCTGGAATTCGGGGTCTCTGGAGGAACAGGGGCCACGATCGATCCTTTTCCGTTTGCTTCTAGCCTTCTTTACCCTGGCGAGATTTCTCCAGTGTGTCCCTCTTTCCCGTGGGAGAAAGCAGAGAGAGAAAGACAGACCATGGATGGAGTTGAGGTTGACCCACAGTTTATGCACCCTACATTTCTCAACAGCTTGCCAGGTGCACTTCCCACATCGATGCCCGGTGCCAAGAGGGTGTATCTTATCTTCCAACCAGAACCCGATGGCCATGTATTGCTCATTGACGTCGGTTGTTTTCTTCAATTGGACCTTGAAACTCTGCTTTGACTGGCCTAGAGGCATCGGTGTCTACTGTAATAGCTCAATTCTCGCCTCGCTGGGACATGCCGTCGTTCTCGACAGCCGGTGTGTTTATGGGATCTTGCAAGCTTTCTGATCAATTTTTTCCTCCGCGGGCTGTACTGAGAACCGTTGCGGCTAAGGCTGGGAAGCTGGCCTTACGTGACTTGAATGGGCAGAAAGTCAGTTACTGCACTGTTTAAAAGGCTTCTGTCTCCCCAGTCCTGGCGGGGGAGCGAGGCCTTCATAGATTTTTTCATTGGATTCCTTGTTTAAAACTATCCAAAACATGAACCATGGCATCTTGAGAAACCTTGCCTGTACTTCAACACTCAAACCTCCTGGTGCTTATCAAACTCGTGGACTGGAGTGCTTCAGTCGGCGAGTTGATTGCGAGGGGCTTATCTCATATGGTGCTGCTTGTACGGGGTGTTTGTGTGTGAATCCCTGCAAACAGAAAGCTAGCTCTTCACTACAAGGAAGAACGTCCCTGCATGCAGAAAGCTAGCAAGGTGTGGTGAAAGGAAAGCTACGAAACTTTTTCCTGGCTTTCTAGATTTCAGTATGCGGGGTTATATTCTCCCTGAGTGAAGGTGCATTCAGGAAGGCAAGCCTCTCCTGTTGTCCCGAAGGGGTATTGGCTATCCCGTGCAGAGATTGGAAATAATATGTCACGTTTAATAAATGCAAGTTAGAATCACACTTTGAACAGGAAGGACGCATCTTTTAAAAATAATGTTTTGAAAGTAACATTAAGATATATAAAACTTTGCTTTCAAAATGTTATTCTTTGGGTGCGTTCGTTGGCTTGTCTGATAACTCAAAAGCAACGATTTTCACATTCGTGCTCTAAATCTTACACATTAGTTCCTGAACTCTGGTTCCAAAAACCAAGCTGATAGATCCTAAGTGGAAAATTTTTCTCCTTTCTTGAATTCTCCTTATGAACAGGGACCGAGTTCAATGAGCTGTGTATTTTTCTTTTTACCCCTATGCATTTCATGCAACTGCACCCTAGTTAAATGTTTTCTGAGGATGTCTGGCATTCGCCAGGATTTAAATTTGACTTGAACTGTTCCCAGGAAACTGGCCTCCTTTCCCTGGGTCTCAGCTGTCTCCACTGTCAAATTCTGCTGTTCAGCAGCAGAGCAACTGGTGCTCAGCAAATTACCTTACTCTCCTCATCAGCACCCCAAAAATCTGTTCAGATATTTTTTTAAAAGCCACAGCCCTAGACTCACAACTTCCGTACCAGCCCCGGGTTGGCTACAGAACAAGGCGGTGTGCTGAAGTTTCACCTGGTGCTTAAACTCTCCTTCCCGCCTTAACCAGCGGCGGTCGGAAAGTGGTGCAAGCTTCTGTGTGCCAAGGATCAGCCCCCTTTAATGCATTTCCAATCCCAGGAACATCCAGGAAGCCTCTGCTTATTGAACGACCGTCAGGCACTTCCTTCCCACACAAAATATAATCTTGGTCCAGCATTTTGTTTGCCTGCCTTGATCGGAAGCAGTGGAACATCAGTATCCTTATCCACAGTATACGTTTTCATCCATGGGTCGCCCTTCCCTTCACTAGATATCCCACTCAAACGTCACTTCCATCCTCTGTCCCCCGAGATATACCCCAAATTTATAAATCATCTTCTGTGTTTCCCTGTCAAAAACAGCCCCTTTCCACAAACACACCTACGGCAAACTTAGTAACCCCATTCAGTGATGTAGTTTGGCTTCTGGCTCAAGGCAGATGGGGGGGGGGTGTCGTTGCCTTTGAAACGACATAATCTAAAAGATAGATATGTAAAGTTATTTTTTTATTATTGTTGTTGTTTTATTTTGTTTTTTCTTAAAAAGTCAACAATGGTTTGAGAGGTGCTTTGTTTCCCATCATGTGTCCATATACCACAAAGCGTCACCTCTGGTTGAACAGGTACAGCAGGTTTTTGAAGCCACACCGGAACCTACTGAACCTGTTTAAGCGGAGGCAGCGGGTGTGTATAATCACAAAGAGCGTCACTTCCTTCACACTACCTTTTCCTCTTTTCTTGGGCAAAGGAACTGTTTGATGTTCTCTGTATTTAGAGGGCAGAGAGAGAGAGAATGGAAACAAGAATTACTTCGGATATGGTGCTACAGAACACTCAGATATTGGTGCAAATTGTTCAGCTAAATCGCCGTGAGTTACACGTTTGAAAAGGGGTAAAGGTGTGTCAGAAGCATCAGGCTTACGCACCTTAACTTCCTTTTGCCTTAAATGCATTTTACAATGTGTGGCTCGGCTTTTATTGTAAATTTGTTTCCTCATTCTCTCTTTTTGTGGGAAAAATGGTTCGATCATGCCATTCCCCCCCCCTCACTTTCTTGAACAAGCACTAGGATTTAAATGACCCTCCACAGTAAAATTAAATTAAAAACCCAATAAACTAAATCTGGGTTTAAAATGCAGCCCTAGTTCTGTGCAATAGAAGAATTCTGAACCCACCTTCCTTGCAAGTTCTGGAGGACGCTTTAAAACCTATGCGTGTATTTGATAGCATGTGAATTCCAGCTTTTTCAAGGCGTGATCCCGGGCCTGAAATGCGAGGATGCATCCTGTCATGCAAAGTACTCCACAGCGCCTCTCCAACCTTCTTGAGGACTAGTTTCATGGTGAATGTATTGAGCAACTGCCTTCAGGAATAACTCCTTATCAAATCATACACTGTGTCCTGTGTTGCTTGAATTTTTAGGGTGGGGGGGGAGTTCTGTTGATTTGCTGGAGAGAAAAGTGGGATAAAAAGGAGAGGCTTTTTTCCCCATTGGGAGATTACAATTGTACTTCTTCTTTTTTTTACTTATGACTTGTAGGCTTTTTGGACTGGGTGGGAGAGAGAGCCCACCCCTGTACAGTTCGGTTATCAGTTTGTGCTTTAAGGGTTTTTGGAGAGAGGGGATAAACGTTTTTTTCCTGCTGGGTCTCTGCCCCTTTTCCTCCTGAAAGGTTTGTGTTCTGTGTTTCGAGAGATTATTTTTCATTATAAAAAATAAATGGGCGGTTGAAACCTGAAGTGTTTTATTGCATCGCTTTATTATCAAGAAAGAAGTTTGAAAAAGTGCAGTTCATCTTCCCGAGACGGGAGCAAATAATACTCTGCCTCTTTTTTTCCAAATTTTCCACTTCCAAGGGCGTGGTAGATCTAACATTTGTGAGTCCTAGGACAGGAAACAAGAACATGGTCATAGAATGGAGGTTATCGAACATGGGCAGAGTGCCTTTGGTTTGTCCAGCAGCTTTGCTCCTACAGTGGCATCAGAGGAAAGGAAGGAATTTGCACGTGTTCCAGAGCTGTTTGCCATATGTGGAGGCTGACTGCAAAGAGATGGCCTATGCACTCTGTACATGCTTGGGGGGGCCCTTTTGTAGATCTGATGCTTTCTGGTTTAGCCTGACATCCCTGCCTGGAACACACTAGCTTGGGAATATGAAGGGGTATTTCGTAGCCTTGAGCAATGTTTTGAGAGAGGAGCAGGCTGCTTGCTCCGTGCCTTCAGAAAAAAGAGACTTTTTGGTGACCTGTCTGTGAACCCAACCCACAGAGGTCAGCAAGAGGAACGAAGGGATAAAGAGGGCTGGTGGGCGGCCGTTGCCCCAAAACCGGGCGAAATTTCTCCTGGGGAGCTGGAATCTGGAGGGAGAAAGACGGGAGAGGGGGAGAGAGGTGACCTGCAGACAACCGAACAGCCGTGAAACCCCGGGGATCTCGCCAAGGCTCCTTTGAATCCCACCGCGCAAAACACCGGGTCCCTCCATCCAGAGGAAAAGAAAGAGGGGATTTGTCCCCTAATTTTTATTTTTCTATTGGAGTTGGGGCGATTTTTACCCGCGCCCCTCGGGAAGGAGAGAAAATATTCTAAGATCTGCTTGAAAACCTGCAACGTTGGTCCCTGTCCCCTTGCGCGCAATCTGGGAAAGAATTACGCACGTGCGTTTTGGAGAGGTGAGAGGGGACCCACCTTCAATGGGGTGTGTGTGGGGGTGGGTGTCACAATTTGGGGCAAAACAGGGAGGGAGTTGCTTCTTGGGACCAAAGCCTACAAGACCCAGAGTCCGGGTGACCAGGGACACTGTGGCTGGGGGATGATGGGTGTTGTCGTCGTCCCCAAGCTTCTCTTGGCCTGATCTTTGGAGAGGAAAGGACCGGCAGCTGGGGGGAACCACCTGTGTCTTCTGCAGTGCCTCCTGCCAAAATCTCTCCAGGGGCCACATCCAGTGGTGGAGGACAGCCAAAGAGCCTCCACCCTGCCCTCCTCCACTTGGGTTCCCTGAAAACCATTGGAGGGAATAAGAGATGCCCCCCGTCATCCAACTCAAGGACTGTTGCCATTTCATTCTCATTAGTGCTGCTGCATACAGACATGCTTTGGGCCCAGCAACTGTGAGCTTGCCACCTGCCTGCTTGCCTGCCCTCCGTTTTTTGGGGAGTCAAAGAATCCATGGAGGGCGACGTCGAAGGAGGCTCGCGGGCGCCCCAGGAGCCGAGTGAGGGCCCGGGTGCCCAGAAGCCCCCTTACTCCTACGTGGCCCTGATCGCCATGGCCATCCAGGCCAGCCCCGGGCAGCGGCTGCCCTTGAGCGGCATCTACCGCTTCATCGCCCAGCGCTTCCCTTACTACCGCCTCGGCCAGAAAAGCTGGCAGAACAGCGTCCGCCACAACCTGAGCCTCAACGCCTGCTTCGTGAAGGTGCCCCGCCGGGCAGCCGGGGAGCGCAAGGGCAACCTCTGGGCGCTGGATCCGGCCTGCCAGGACATGTTCGAGCCGGGCGATTACCGCCGCCGCCGCCGCCGGAGACGCGTCCGGAAAGCCCCCGGGGAGGGC